CATCCTTGGCCCACCGGCCCATCCAGCCACCCATTATCTACATGGATGGCCAGAGGCCTTCCAAAGTCTTTGGAGAAGACATTTTTTGCAGCATATGAAAACGTCAATGGCGTCATGCACACGATCACAGTCTTTTGTCAGCAGAGATTCCTGTCTCCATAAGGCCTACGTAACCACTTGGTAATCCAACGCAGCCCAAATGCTTTCCTCAAAAGGCTACAATTGCCCTTTACCATGGAACCATTTTTAAGGTATTCTCCCCCTCCCCATTCAAAAAGGCTGGAATCTATCTTTCAGTGATCAGGGTCGAAACAGACGAAACAGGACCTTTGGAGTTTAGAATGTGATAATAAAGTATTTTGGATTCTTCACAGAGATGCATTCTTGACTACTAGGGTTAGAAATCAATATGCAGTGCCTAGAGATCACCTCCTAATGGCCAATTACCAAACAAAGGCAAACTAATTCATAACTTGCAAAGCTCCGGAACAATGCTGGGCGTGAATGACAGGTCCTTTACTTTTTATGGCCACTCTGCTTGTAACGGGCCCAGTTGCCACGTCATCTGTCATTTCACCAATTTTTCATTCAAACCACTGGTGGTAACTCATACATTTGCTGATTCAGAAAATGCCTGAGTAAACAAATAAGTCTTCAACCAGGGACAATAACATACTGCCTTGGGAATTCACCAAGGGGGAGATTTACAACACGATGGGTGCCACAACAGAAAAAGCCCTTTTCTGCCCTGCAACCAACAAAGTTCTCTAGAGATCATCTTTCAATAGATAAAGTTGGCAGCCCTTCTCCACCCCAGCATGGCAACTGAAGAAGACGGCTCTCTGGCATGGCACAAGGCCTTCCAGATCAATTAGGGTTTTATGCATGAAGAACAGCAACTTGAATCCATCTTGACAGCTATCTGACACCCCAGATCCACAAAAATTATAATCACACAATTAAACAAACCCCATGCTTCCCACTGCCGACACCTCATGAAAATGAGATTGTGTAGTTTTAAACTGCCTGGTGTACATGTCTGGGCCAGATGTCATGCCTCTGTGCTTTTTACCTGCTTGGTGCAGGAAACATCAACGCACCCTGGTTCAACAGGTGAAGCCATTTCACTCACCAGAGAGGAGGCAGCCAACACAAAGAACAGTCATTCCCGGGCGCTTGCATAAAACAAATCCGCCGCAATACCAGCAACTCTGAAAAATATTTTTACAAGGAGCCACACCTTGGGAGTAATGGAGATTGCGGTCTCCGATTGCATCTCCTCCTCATTTGCGATGATTCCATAACACCCTCGGGGCAATTAGAGCCAACTGCTCTCACGTGGAAAAGAAAAAAAAAGGGCGGGCAGTTATTTAATGTGTTTGCGAAGCGTCTTGCAGTGGAAGAACCAAAACATGGCCGGCAACCAAGAAGGTGTCTCCCGTTCAGGACCAACGGCTAGTCTCCAGGAAATTCAGGCAGAAACTTGGCACAATTCCGTAGCTCCATTCTGCAACTTCCCTCTGGGCCTGACTGGCTCCCAGCCTGCCTTCTTGATTGATTCGGAGAGTTAGAAGGTTCCCCAAAGATAACCCAATCCCCTGCCAACGTAGGAAATCCATTACCACGGTAGGCCCGACAGGTCCCTTGCTTTTAAAATCTCTAAACGGGATGAAGGAGGCAGGATCCAACCTGACCAGCATTTGGTCTGGCATCAAGAAAAGACCCAACTTTATTCATCCATGGATTGATTTCCATTTCCCTCCCCTCAGATGGAGAAACCATGCCTTCCTAGGGCACAGGATACGTTTCTAAAACAAAATAAATTTTGGGGAGGTTTTTTTGGGGGGGGGGGAAATCTACGAGATTTTTTTTTCTCCCCACACTGATTCCACCCCCTAAAAAAACCTGGCATTCACCTCTAGTTTCACTCCAAAGACCTGGTGTGCTCCCCTTCGTAAAATGATCTAGGGCTGCAAAAATGGGCCCCAGGAATTCGGAACCTGCCTGGCTCTGCTCTAAATAATTACATAATTAACGACTATTTCATACATGCTCTACGTGCTAACTAAGCAAAACGTGGATTTAGGAAATTAAAAGAACAACACAGACAAACTCCATGACTCTGAAGATAATCTGCAGACTGTTAGATCTGATACCGCATGAGCGTTACCTAAGGGTGGAACCACATTTCCTGATTGAAATCTGACGTGTTGATCAGGATTCCACTAGGGCAGAACGGTAGCTCAAGGGGTGACGACTGTGCACCTTGGCAAGAGCTTTTTCAAAAGCCTTCCCGTCCGACAAATTCTACGGCAAGTCCACCAGTTCCTCCTCTAGAGCAGGGTCACCGAAATCCATGGGACTCGTCCGATTAGGACGCCCCACACATTTCATTGGGATGACTCTCTAGGTAGGGCCAGCACTGGATCTAGCCCACAGCTGCTTCTCACCTCCTTTAGTTCTGTCCATAGGGCAGCAAAGGGTAAGCACATCCAGTCAGGATTTAAGTCAACCTCTGCTCCTGTAATGTCCAGACTCCTCAGTCTATGATAATGCCCTGTAGATGCTGGTCCATTTGGACCAATCCTGTCCTTAGGCAGAGTGAGCCAACAGCCTCGGATGGGAGATCATAAGGCAGAATGTGCACTTTCGGCTGAGGGACCAATTTTATTTTATCGTGTGGTTTTTAAAAAAAAATCAAAAATCTGCTCCTCAGATTCTCCAGGAGCTGCACCAAAGGCATGAGTACGAGGAGTGAGAAAAGAAGTGGTTAGAAACCCACTTCTGGTAGTAAAGAATAAGTCTTCTACAGGGTGCAATGGTGCAGAGGGTTATGTGACCTTTGTAAACAGTGCTCTATCACTGAAAAGTGTAGGTAGGAAGGGGGTCGGGGCATTCCTAAGGGCAGGGCCCCACAGAACCAGCATTCAGGATCCACGCGAAACCCCACCACCAGATTTCATCCACTTCCTTCTTAAGGCAATGAAGTTTTATGACACAGTCCTGCAAGGTTAAAAAAAACTCCAGTAGTTTATGAAAAGCAGAGAGTGTGGCGTCCCCTTCCAAACCCCCTCATGTTTCCCTACTCAGCTTATTTGTTTATTATTTTTTTAAAATAACTGCTTAGCTTGCAATGCTCACAGTATTTTAGGAAACACCGCCCTGGGGAGACAAGCTCTTCTGTTGCCATGCAAAGCATCTGGGAGAGCTTCGATCTTGAGTGGACAATTAAGATCCATTAACCGTACAAAATACTTGCTCCTTGTGTGTTGACACAGGCGATCCAAGCTGCCTGCCTTCTGGAACTCTCCTTCTGAGATCAGGACGAGGCTGCAAGCACCACCAAGCCCATCCTGCACAGATGAACAATTCTGCCATGCTCTGAGAGGGCCAGGTTGCTAATCTCATTGCCAGCACTGAAGTCATATTCCACTGAGTCCAGCCAGTATTTTTTTGCAAAGGGACTGGGAAAAAGCAAATATTCTATCTTTCTCTCAGGCAACAAATATTGTTAGCAAGTCCTGAATCAAACTCGTTTCTTCAGCTAAGCACATCCAAGCAAGGAATCTGTCTGGAAACGAAACAAAAATAAGAGTCCATTTCCCCAAGCAAGCAGGGAGAACTTCCTGAGAGGGTGCGAGAAGGAGAAGGGAATTTCAGATCACTTGGAAAGAACGTTTGCGGAATAACACCCATTATGCTTATTGACTATTCGCTCTGCCGATAATTATAATTTTCCAAATCTCTGCCTCGTCTATTGCTTTGGATTATAATCACTAGTTCCTGGGCACCAGAGGAGGGAAAAGAACCAGGGCTAACCTGTTTCAATCAGATATGAGTTCCTCCCCCCGCTCTTCCCCAAAAGAATTGTCCTTAGATGCATTGACGGCGCATGTTCAATTCCCACCTCCCTCCAAACAAACAAACAAACAAAAAATTCAACAAAATTCAGGACACAGATAGGTGAATTGCAAATACTTTCTTAAGCTTGCCTCTCCTCTCATGGGACTGCAAGACTGCTTAAGAAAAGCACTTTGTTGCTGCATATTCCTCTTCTAAAAATAGGACACCCATACCCATAACTTCCTAAGGCAGCATGGACTCCTTTGTCCTTCCGGGTCTTCCAAGCAGACTAGCCGCCTCCTAGTCTGCTTTATTTTCCCATTTTTTTTTTTAAAAAATTCTCTCTGCTGTCAAAGACTTTGTCCAGAGCTGCCAGATTTAGATGTTTTCTGTCTCTGAGAGAAAGTAAGGAAAGGGTTTTTCCTTTCCTTTTTAAAAAAATTTCAAAGGTTTTTGGAAACTAGTCTACAGAAGGCAGAAGTTAACAGAGCAAATTGTTTGGAAATCGTTTGCTCTACCTGTCCCTTGCTAGACAACAAAGCCTGTTCCAGAAATTTCTCTTATTGGGCAGGGGGAGAACCCTAAGAGACCCTCCCCACGAAAAGTAATTTCTATTAGAAATGCACTATAACAAGCGTCTCTTGTTGTCTGCCGGAGCCTTAAAAACAGCACGACCTCTTCCGGTTTAAAGCCATTGGCTTTGTGTGCCTCCCACTAAAGGGGCCATTATACTGCCCTTCAAATGGGTCTTTAAAACACCCCTTCAGCTGAGCCCCCCACAATGGCCCAGCAGCTGGTGTGCAGGGACCAGGGCGTTTCAGAGGCGAATCGCGCTTCCCCCATCGGCTTGCCAGCCCCTTCTGCAGCCACCTCCATCTGCTTCCCCGGTCCACCTGTTGTCACGTATTACACGTATTTAGATTTCAAAGTCCATTTGGCTCCCAAACTGCCTCTCGGTCGCTCCCTCTCCCACCCACTCCCCCCAAAAAACCCAGAAAGGTTTGCTTTTCAGCAACAAGACCCAAGTGAGAAAAATTCTCCAGATTCAGGTTCATCCATGAAGCCCCAAGGCTTGATACCAGTACATCAAGAGATTTTTTTAAAAAGGGAAAAGAAAATAATAAAAAGCAAAAAGGGGGGAAATTGAATGGCCTTACCTTCTTTTTAGAGTATGCTCTATCTTCCTCTTTAGCGGCTTTGTTGTTTTTTCCAGCTCTCGGAAATTTCTGCTCCCCAGACTGCTTAATGGTGATTTTGATCTCGGGTGGGCAGATATAGTTCTCCAAGTTTTTGGGAGGCTTCTTGGCCCGCTTTGTCGTCTGGATTTTCAGCTTCAGGCTCCCCTCCGTGAAGTTGGCCTCCTTGATGGAAAACTCCTGTTCCTCCAGACCGTCTCCGGCCACCCACTTCTCGCTATCCGCGTTCGAGGCGGAATCCACGTCTCTTCCAGAACAGAGTTCGTCCTCCTCTTCCGCCTCCAGACGGTCACCGCTCACCGGCATGCCTTTCGCCGAGCCAGACGCGGGCAACATGGCCTCCCCGGCGGAGCCAGGAGCCGGCGGGCTTTTGGTGGAAGCCATGGCCGATCCCAAGAAATCGGGGTCTCCTCCCCGTGGCCGGGAAGCGCCTGAGTTCTCCCTTTGCTCCACGGAGATCCCCCGATCCATAGAAGGGGTGGGTGGGTGGGAGGCGGGGATGTGCAGGAATCAAAAAAGGGAGAAAACTCCAAGGAGTGAATGGTCGCTTCTCAACGAAGTCTCTCAGAGTCTCAAAAGTCCAAACACTGCAAAGTCAGCAACGTTCAGTTCGGCAACTAGTGAAAACACAGAATTAAAAAGAGAGGAAAAAAAGATGTCAGCATATTTGGTAGGTAGTGAGCAGCAAAGTAAAACTTGACACCAACTGACATGCATGTACTTATTTGCTTCATTTATATCCTACCTTCTCTCCATGAAGTTCACCCATCCCTATTTTAAAGCTCACAACTATCCATGGAGATTAATCAGACAGATCACTAGTATCATACAACAAAGTGTAGACAGCACGTTATTAGAAGGTGGAACACCTTAACTGCTATAACACATCTGATTGTCCTAGCACAACCTTTCTTGCTTCCCTACCTTGCAAAATGACTTGCTTTGTTTTGTGATTGGTCATTAGGACTTTGCCTGTAGGATTGGTTAGGCACGAACAATTACTATCACCGCATCTTTACTGTCCTTCCCTTCAGGCAAGATTTCCCTCAGCGATGGGCTGCCTGAGTGGGAGTTTTAAACGGATTGTGGTATCTTACTGCTTTGAAAGTGTTTTTGGTGTTGCTTATGCTCACTGGAAGGACAGATCCTGAAGCTGAGGCTCCAGTACTTTGGCCATCTCATGAGAAGAGAAGACTCCCTGGAAAAGACCCTGATGTTGGGAAAGTGTGAAGGCAAGAGGAGAAGGGGACAACAGAGGATGATGAGATGGTTGGACAGTGTCACCGAAGTGACCAACATGACCTTGACCCAACTCTGGGAGGCAGTGGAAGACAGGAGGGCCTGGCGTGCTCTGGTCCATGCGGTCACGAAGAGTTGGACATGACTTGATGACTAAACAACAACAACATTCATTGGTCCTTTGAGCATTGGATATGGACATGACTTGACGACTAAACAACAACATTCATTGGTCCTTTGAGTATTGGATATTCATTGTTACTAATCTTAAACAACAACTACCACCTTGGGTTCTTTTTAAGGAGAAAGGTGGTTTAGAAATACTTTAAATAAATAAATATGAGTTGACCTCTACCAATTGGTCCAGGATCATCCAGTGAGATTCATGGCCATGTGGAGATTTGGGCTTTATAATCCTAGCATGACGGCGGAAATAGTACACCACACTGAAATCCAAAATTCCAATTCAATTTTTTAAACCCAGAGCCAGAGAACTCTTAAGCACATATGTACATTTTGAGATGTACACATTGTAAAGGCCTCAGTTGTTGCATCTTTCATTTAGAAATCAGGATCAAGTTAAAATTATGGATTCATACCAGCAAACCGTGGAGTCAACCTGAAATTTTTACAGTTTCAAGCTCCTTCCAAAAAAAAATCAGATCATGCAAAATTACATTTTATTTAAGAACGTATACATTTCAGACTTTATTAACCTGTGGTCTGTAAAATCCTGAACACTTCATTCTTTCAGTACTATACATAAAAATACTACCTGATGTGTCAGTTAACCAAAGAGAATCAAAAGAAGAGGTTGCAAAGAAGTAAAAGGAATAGTCCAGACAGACGTTTTAAAGAGTGTCAGAGAGAATTTGAAGAAGAACCAGAGACAAACCACATATTCTAGCAATTTACTATGACCGAGCAGATCATTCCCTACATAAAAAGGAAGCTGTGGTTCTTGGATATTGGGCTCTTATAATTTCTAAGCCTACCTTATTACTACTGTCTCCTTTCATTCAACATTAAGGATCCAAGGAATTTAGAATGAAATTTAGGTACCATGTATAGATGGTCCCGATTAAAGAAATCAACCCTGAGTGCTCACTGGAAGGACAGATCCTGAAGCTGAGGCTCCAGTCCTTTGGCCATCTCATGAGAAAAGAAGACTCCCTGGAAAAGATCCTGATGTTGGGAAAGTGTGAAGGCAAGAGGAGAAGGGGACGACAGAGGACGAGATGGATGGACTGTGTCACCAAAGTGACCAACATGAATTTGACCCAACTCCAGGAGGCAGTGGAAGACCAGAGGGCCTGGCGTGCTCTGGTCCATGGGGTCACGAAGAGTCGGACATGACCAAATGACTAAACAACAACAACAAATTATGGAGCCAAGTATAGGTGATATCCTATACTTCCAAAAACAGGGAATATAACCGCTTCCTAATTACCGATATAATCACAGGTCAAAAGAATTGCTTTTTCCAGAGTACAATTCCCAGCCAACATAGCCATTGGTCATGCTGCTCAGGAATTCTACGAGCTTCATTCCAGAAAGTAATGTTCAAAGTTGTGCTGTAATTCTTGGGAAATGGCAGCTGTCCACTGGAGGACAAGTCAAAAACGTGATCATAATTTGAATCAAGACCTATGGAGAGAAAGAGCCAAGTATTTAGGTTAGCTGAGACAGCACGCGTCTTTGGCTTTCAGAAATCTGATGCTGAATTTGGCCTTGTGTTGCTTGCTATGGGCATCTCCTTACCTCTCCTATCTTCTACTTGCCTGTTTGTGAGCAGAAGAGATGGTTCCAGGCACCAGAGAACCCATAAGCTCCCTGTGATCTCATCTAAAGGAATTTAAACCCAGAGAAACTGCCCCAGATTCCTTGTTGGGACAAGTGGGGAGCAAGGCTTACGCCTACACATACAGACTTAAATGGTGGTCCTCCTCTTTTCCTATCCAAACAACCAAGCAGGACGACAAGAACCAGCAGGACATTCCATGGTGCCGAAAGCATCATTCCAAGAGTTAACAGCAGTTCGAAAGTACTCCAGCTGACAAGTTTACATTTTACAGAATGCTGGGCTTTGTCGTTCAGCGAGGTGTTCAAGAGCACTCTAGAAAGAAGTGTAAGTTCTTTGGCAAACTCTAAACCCCACGATTTTTGTAGAACCACAACAAACTGCTGTAACTGTAAAGTGCAGACACATTCCCAGGCTAGGAAAATAATCGCTTAGCACAGTGGTTCCCTACTTTGCGTCCCCAGATATTCTTGAACTGAAACTCCCAGAAATCTTGGCCAGCAAAACTCGCAGTGAAGACTTCTGAGAGCTTTAGTCCAAGAACATCTGGGGACCCAATGTGGGCAACCACTGAATTCTCACAGTTGCCAAAGGCAAAATACTTTGAGCCATGCACGCCCACCCAAACCATGGTGTGCATCCCTTCCATGCCTAACAAGGCAATGAAAGTTGAGAACCACCTCCCAAACTTTCTCCCGTGCCACTAACGCAAAACAAGCTGACCTAGCAAGCGACTTGCTTTGCTAATCTCCCTGCTGAGGCACACAATGTACACAGGCTGCGGAAAGCCGAAACGTAAACACAAGGTGGTAAAGCTGCAACCGGTTCCTGAACTCTAAACACAATAGACATTCTGTCAAGTGTCTCCACCTACAAGATGATCTAAAGGACTGCTTCTCCCTGAGTCCTTCAAGCTGAGGTGGGGCCCGCAGCACTTCATGATATAGGCACAGAACTGAGCCCTCTCATTAGCAGAAGAAGAAGAAGAAGAAGAAGAAGAAGAAGAAGAAGAAAAGAAGAAGATCCACCTTGAGACTAGCATGTCAGGCTGAATGTGCCTGGCCTGTGCATTTTCCTTCAAACGAGGAATTTTTGGCACAAAACAGCATGTGCTCAAGTGAACACCCAACAACAACCTTGGGCCTCCAGATGTTCTTGGACTCCAACTCCCAGAAGCCTTCACCATCACCTCTGCTGGCCAGGATTTCTGGGAGTTGAAGCCCAAGAACATCTGGAGGCCCAGGGTTGGGGACCACTGCTCTAGTGAACACCCAACAACAATGAGGGTCAACTCATTCTCTGAATCTTTTATAAAATCAAGTTGTAACTCAGGGCTTCTTCTGATTGAGATGATTTTAAGCCAACATTTTGGCCAGAGAAGTCTGTAACTCAAAAAGTCTGTAAGTCAAGGGTCCACTGTATAAAATCAAGTTGTAACTCAGGACTTCTTCTGATCGAGATGATTTCAAGCCGACATTCAAGCCCTTACGAAAGCATTAATGTCTGGGCTAACACACCCTGAGAGCCAGTTGGGTGTAGTAGTGGATAGAGCGACATACTATGATTCAGTGTTCGAATCCCCACTCAACCGTCTGTAACTCAAAAAGTCTGTAAGTCAAGGGTCCACTGTATAAAATCAAGTTGTAACTCAGGACTTCTTCTGATCGAGATGATTTCAAGCCGACATTCAAGCCCTTACGAAAGCATTAATGTCTGGGCTAACACACCCTGAGAGCCAGTTGGGTGCAGTAGTGGATAGAGCGACACACTATGATTCGGTGTTCAAATCCCCACTCAACCATGGAAACTCACAGGAATGAGATTATCCCTGTTGAAACCACTCCTCACATAAGTCACATATCTTGAAAACCCTACAAGGGTGACTATAAATTGTGACGTTAAGGCATAGAACAAAAAGAATGCATGTCAAATGTTCAAGCCCTCTTCCGCCTCCGGCAGCACTCCCATCTGCCTGTAATACATGGGCCATTTGAAACAGAAATGCATGCACTTTCCATAAGCATGCTCTGTGTGATCTAGAACCCTGACTTTTACAGGGTTCTAATGCATGTGAAGAGCCCTGATGGCTACTGGTGGCTCTCCTGTCCAGCTTTGCCAGCCTCACACATTCAGGGCTAGAGCACTCCCCATGAACGTGTGCAATGGGCATGCCCAAATATTAACAATAGGACAGGACTACAGAAAAATGATACCAGGGTAGAAATTACATCCTAGGCTTCCATATGCAGAAGTGTTCTGACATGAAATCTGACAAGCCACCACACCGCACCTCTATGACCCTTTATCTTTACTGATGTATGTGAAATGGAAATTAGTGGAAATATTGCCTGCTACGAATCTTTCAAGATTTGCAGGTTTCCCTCGAAATTTGAAGAAGAAAAAATCTGAAGGTGTTTTTTTAAAAATTAAACTAAGAGAGTTGCCCAACCAAAGAAAAGGATTTCTTGTGACTTCAGTGGTGACAAAGGATTTTTATTTCACTGCATGTATTAACCCACTCATCTATGCAAGCATGTCTGTATTACCATCCGGCATTCCTTTATTTTATGCT